ACGGCGCTTTGGTAATGCTCAAGCACGCACTGCAGATGCCTGAGCTGGAGCGATGGGCAATCACCGAAGGCACGTGCTTTGCATTTCACTGTGCCGCTTTTCTGCTAACGGGTCACTAGACGAGATGATTGTCTTCCTTTTGGCCAGTCGTACAGCATACAACGAGTTCGTCAAGTACCATAACTTCCGCCACGTTGTCGATGTCCTACAGGCTCTTTTCCACTTCCTCGTCCGAATAGGTACCCTGCCTATGTATCCACCCGACACACGCAACGTATCTGCCCCCAAGTCGCCGATAGCCTCACTTCTCAAGCCGTTCGATGCGCTCACACTTCTGATTTCTGCCATTGGACACGATGTTGGCCACCCCGGTGTCAATAACGCGTTCCTAGTTGCGTTGAATGCACCATTGGCGCAACTTTATAACGACCGTTCCGTCCTGGAATCGTTCCATTGCGCAGCTTACTCGCAAATTCTACGGCGATACTGGCCAAGTGCATTCTCTGACATTGCGATGCGCAAGCTGATGATCAACAACATTCTTGCAACGGATATGGGTCTTCATTTCAAGTACATGAGCGATTTGGGCAACCTGCAGCAAAAAGTTGCTCACGACCAAGGAGCTGTGGACGGTTGGAGTGCCAAGGTTCAAGAAGAGCAAAAAGATCTGACCTGTGGCTTGCTCATCAAATGCGCCGATATTTGCAATGTGGTGAGTTTTCTTTTTTCTCGAGCGCATGCTGTAACCCATCCTAATCTAGGTTCTGTAGGCGCGAAAATTCCCAACTGCTGCTAAATGGGCCAATATCCTCACAGACGAATTCAGCAATCAAGGGCTCATGGAAGCGGAACTTGAGATGCCTTCATGTCTTTTCGGAGGACCACCGGTGCGCGAAGACATCGTTAAGCTCGCTGAGTCGCAGATCGGATTCATGAATATATTTGCCAGGCCACTATTCGAAGCCGTCACGGACATTCTACCCGCCATGCAATTCGTTGTAGACGAGATCCTGACCAACAAGGCTATTTGGGAAAATAGAATAGATGAGGAGCGGCGAAAGAAGAGGAAGAGCAAAAATATGAACCTTGGTCTACTGACATCAGGGTTTTCTGTCGATCCAACCCCGAGCCCACTTTCAGGAGGACCAAACAGGTCGCCCATGAAGATACCCCTGAGCGCGATAAAGACCATTTCTCCCGAAGAAGCGGCTCGCCGAGGATCGACTGGCTCAATACAAGCTGTGGCTGCGGCATCCGACTCAAGAAGATCGTCCATCATTGACAGGAGCTCACGGCGGTCGTCTACTACACCTGTACCAGGCCAAAGGCCCATGGGATCTAGCGAAAACGTGACCTCGTCTAGAAGGGGCAGCCGGGACCCAAGTCTTACGGCAATTTTGGTCACCCAGACTCCAAATGCGTCCGATCAAGCTACAAAGGGGCAGGGTACAGGTCCCGATGATCGCTCAAGGGCGGATCGCAAGGATACGTTGACAAGACCCTCTTCAATGATCAAGGATAGAGATAGTCCCAGACCTGTCACCGCTCCATCGCATGCCAGGCGCAGTCAAGGTGAGTTTGAAAGTTGACTTCAATTCTACAAGGCCGTGAAAAGCTAACATTGCAAAGCTCTTGATCCTTACCCAATAAAACAGCCATCGCCTCAGAGCCACTCCCAGGTTGACCTATCTCATAGTGAGAATGGAAATCTTGATGGCTCAAAGCTTCAACCCTGGGACACTAACAATAAGCTGAGCGCAGATAGCAACGCAGCCCGTTCCGACGTCTCGCGCGACTCAAGCTGGTGGCGACAAATGGGCTCACGACGACGTACTCGTGATGGGAGGAACGGCGAAATAGAAGCACGAACTCATGTCAAGGAATCTACACCAGAGTCTCTGGCCCCTCCAAACGCCGATTCGCCCACCGTGTCACCTACCTGTTCGAGCCCCGGTCGGAAAACTACAACAACGGGCAAGATCATGAGCTTTTTCAAACGAAAGCCAAACAGCCAAAGGGAGCAGCCAGAGAAGCAGTTGTCTAGTTTTGGCAGCTCTTCACAGCTGCGAACCCCACAGACCAGCGACCCAGGCCGATCACTCAACAGCGATGATTGATTTCAGCATTCCTTTTCTACGCCTCTATTGACCTTACATTAATGACAAACGCCGCATCCGAACCACGGTATTTCCTTTAGTCTCAACATACCATTTCAAAAGCAGTTCTTGGTCTCTGCAGCACTTGCTTTCGGGTTTTCTTCATCTCTGGCAATTGCGGGCTATGATACCTCTTACACGCGATGTGGCAGGTACCAGCAATAAGCATGGATAACACCACTTGTTTCTGGGCCTTCCCTTGGTCTACCTTCGGGTGTTTTCTGGTGGATCATCGTCCACGTTCTGATTCGGCGCGCGCATTTCTGGCACAGCATCTTTCAAGCTTGTCTTTCCCGCACCTTCACTCGTCTCGTTTCACTTTGTATGCTCCTTTGTCCATTATCTTTCATCTTCGTATGCAGCGCTTTAGCTGTGCAGCATGCATTATTCGAGGCAGCAGCCATTTGTGTTTCTTTTCTTTTCTCTTTTCTTTTTCCCCCCAAGCCTCCACATTGAGGGAGGGCTAGTCGTGTTGTTCTATCGGTGGCAAGAAAAGGTCGCATATGTTTACGCGACTTCCTTGTTTTTACGAGTAGAAGATATCAGGCATGGGTCAGCAATTGGGGCTGACAAAAGAACGATGTTGCTGCAGCAGTCGGAATGGTAGAACTGGGACGGGGACACCCGAATCGGCTCCTTCCTTACCTCCTCTGGGAGAAGGTGCTTATGTCTACTATCCTAAGCTCATTGGTATCGCTCAGCGAAATGACGATAAACTCTCTGTAATGAAATGTATATTCTCAATGTCTCAACTCATACACTTTGCACACTTACGTGGCTGGTTGTCTGTGACAAAAAGGACAAATGAGACTTGCAGCATTCCATGCAAATTAAACGGATACGATTTCTCGTATTCGCATCTTACTCCCGACAACGCATCGGCGGACACCGATGATGTCCTTTATCGTGGTCACGAGCTACTGCCACAAAAGTGGTTCTTGTAAATCTTAGCTACCTATTTCAGGCTAGCGCATCTAACACAGTCCGGCGCTAAACCCCACTTGCTACCTTAACAACACCACCCCTCAACTCCAGCTTCGCATTGACCGCTCATCTTCTCTCATAAACTTACATCACAACCATGGGTGACAAAGTAAAGTATCTCCTCTCCCTCAGTGCGGTGCGGGACCGTTCAAAGATTGTGGGAGAGGCAGCCGCAGCTGGCAAGCTGAGTCATTTTGATGTACACGAAGAGCGATTGGGCGAGGCTGCCGACTATGTGACATCTGTCATCAAGGTTTGTTTGGAAGAATTCGTGATTTTTCTATCTACTCTGATTTGCTGATGTTGTATATGTCTAAAGCGCGATTATGGTCCAGACAAGTTCCATACTATTCCCCCGCACGGCCGATGGCAGCATTTTGAAGTCGGCAACGTTCCCCGCATATCCACGCTTCTTGAGGAATGGAAAAAGGACGGAGCAGACGAATTGGAGATTACACGCCGATTGATCGATTTGTTTTTTGTTTCGGTATTGCTGGATGCTGGTGCGGGTGACCACTGGCGATATGTGGAGCCGGGGACGGAGCGCGAATATGAACGCAGTGAGGGAATTGCAGTTGCCAGTCTGTACATGTTCAAGAGCTTGAGTTTTGCGGCTGCCAAAAACGAGAAGAAGCCAATTGTGGATGGTAAGTATCAGATCCTACATTGGACTACTCATTATGAAATGACTCACTGATTTATGTACAGGAAGAGGCCTGCAAGAATTGAAGACAGAAGAACTTGCAAATGGCTTTCAGATTACAGACAAGAACCCGATGCTGGGTGTCGAATCTCGTGCCAATCTTCTTCGTAGTCTTGGAAAATCACTCTTATCCCACCCTGAGGTCTTTGGCCAAGAAGGTCGTCCCGGAAACGTTGTCGGTACGTCGTATTCTCTGTTTACTACATCTCCTATCATACTCACCGACCACAACACAGATTACATGAAGAAGAACTCTTCCGAATCTTCAACCTTGGACGTACTTGTATTCTGGGACATTCTTCAAAAGCTGCTCATTCCTATCTGGCCACAAGACCGTACAAATGTCAGCGGTCAACCACTTGGCGACGCGTGGCCCCTGTCGACACTCAAGACCCAATCAACTTCCTCAAGTGCTGATGAAACCGAGTTCATTCAGCCGTTCCACAAGCTAACCCAGTGGCTTGCTTACTCCCTTATGGTGCCATTCACACGTATTCTCTCACTACAGTGGAAGAACGCGTCTTCGCTTACTGCCCTACCCGAGTACCGCAACGGCGGTCTATTCGTCGATCTCGGAGTCTTGACACTTAAGCCTGCTTCTCTTGAGCGTGGAATCAAAGCCTCATCCGATGGCACTGGCCTCCCAGCTTTCAGCGCAGGTGACGATGTCATTGTTGAGTGGCGCGCCATGACTCTTGTCTTAGTCGACAAGCTGTACAAGCTAGTCTTGCAGCGCATGGAGGGAGTGGATCTCAGCATGGCGCAGTTGCTGGAAGCCGGCACGTGGAAGTCTGGCCGAGAAGTTGCCAAGGAGAAGAGGCCTACAACAAAGAGTAGCCCGATTATCATCCTAAGTGATGGTACCGTGTTTTAGAAGCGAGACTTTAAGAATAGAAAAACTTGAAGTCTTGAATATGGAAATTCCACTACTAAGTGCCGTTGGAAATAGTTATTCCTACTTACCAGCTTCTTCTTCTTCTTCTTCCATTCAAGACCAAAAGTCCCTGAAATTTACAAATTACGAAAAAAAAAACCCGTCGAGCTCCACACACACTCACAAAAATATCCTACATAGACTCGTAAATGAGATTTGAAACCAAGGGAGAAGAAGGAAAAAACATATTTCAACATCCCCACTCTCTTTTTCCTCATCTTCATCACCTCCGCCTCTCCGCCCTCTGCGCATCCATCTCCCCCCTCCTCTCCGCCATATCCTCCAAAATCTCAATAAACCCTAGTCCCTGCGGTGCGCGCCCTCTACTCCCCCTCCCCCTGTGCCCCTCTTCCAACGCCGCTTCCCCCTCCATCTCCCTAGGCGACTCGACCTCGACCTCGCCAACCCTCTGCTCCCGCCAAACCGGCATAACCCTGGCCCCTTCGGCCCGCGGCTCCCCAATTGCCACCCCGATGTGCGCCTCGCCGTCGTGCTCGTGCTCATGCTCATACTCGTGCTCGTGCTCTTCCAACGGCCGCTCGACCTGCGTCGCCAACTCAACCTTCTCCTTTCTATCATCCCAACTCCACTTCCTAGTCGCAGGACTCACAACGGCGCCCGTGCTGCCGCTTAGCTCTGGGCTTGCGGGATCGCCCGAGTCGAGCTCGTTGCGGGGTTCGTCGCCGGAGAGCTCAGAGGGCCCGCGGGCGTGGCTGTACATGCTTTTGTGGGTGCGGAATTGGGCGGGGGTTTGTGGGGTGATGGGCGTGGAGAGGGGGAGTTCTTGGGGGGCGGTGTAGGTGTGGGTTGGGTCGTAGGTGTGTTGGTAGGTGTGTGTTGTCGGGGGGTTGTAGAAGCCGTTTGGATGGTTGGGGTTGGGGGAGGTGTAGGAGGGGGGTGCTTTCGTTGGTGTTAGTTTTGGGTTTGAAGGAAGGGGGGGGGGTTGGCTTACAATCAGAACTTTGGTTGCGGTGGTGCTTGTTGTGGAACTCGCTCATGCCGTTGACGGGTAATCCGTCGCCGTTTGTTTCGCCATAGTGCTCGGCGGCTTTTGCTTTTGCCTTCTTCTTTCGCCGTAGACATAGCCACCATACGATGATGCCGATTATAGCAGCTAGGGCGAATGCGCCGCCTGCTGCACCGCCTGCTATAGCCCCAACCGGTACGCCGTCATCTGATTTTTGTGCTGCAGCAGTTGGTCCCGAGGTGCTAGAAGTTGTTGCAGACCCGGTAGCATGATATGCACTGCGCAAGTCATCACGGTTCAAGATTGCTGGTTCGAGATCACCATCGGGACAGCCAGATTGGGCACATGGATTCGTTTTGCAGCAGCCCCAGAATGTTTCTAATGCATGTCAGTCATTGCCATGGCGCGCGGGAAAGGAAGACCGATACCAAGATCGGTTGATCATCTCAAGTACTTACGTCCAGCAGAGCAAGTATAAAACTTGCTTCCGGTCCCGCATGTAGCATCGGGAAATGTGCCGTATGCTTTTGGATCGAAAGCACCTGGGTAAAGGTTGCCTTGGGCGCAAGTAATGTCGCATGGGTCTCTTGCACAGCAGCCGACAAAGTATCTAACATTGATATTAGACGCTAGAAGAATGGAAGTAGAAATGAAATATGGACAATCCACTTACGTTCCATACCCACAGGCCCACCAGGTTCCTCCTGAAGGACACGAAGGCGAGAAGGCCTGTCGCGCAGCAAGGTAGGCTGACATATTATACTAACAACCGACTCCGCGGTCGCAACTAGTAGGATATCCGCTACCACTTGCGTGGACTCGAAAACCCTCCACTCACAATCACTTCAATAGCAACAAAAAACAATACCGTCACTCAAAAAAGAGCAGACAGGAAAAACAGGTACCGATTAGACAGAGAAAGAAAGAAGTCAGACGCAAGAGAGACTGCAAGAAAGGTGATGGGCTGGCCGGGTCTCACAACCGAGGAGGGAAGAAAATCAGGCGACCAGACACTACTCTACCGCCCATGTAAGTATCTCAGCGCGCGGAAGGAAGCTGGGCAAAACAAAAAAACCGAGGGGGAATCACGTCAAGAAGAAAAAAACACGAGAGAGCTGATCGAGCAACCCCCCCTCCCACGCACTCCCAAGAAGCCATAATAGCCGCAGCGAAACAAAGCCGCAGCAAACTATGCAAAAAGCGGGCAGCGGGCTCAGCCTGTGTGCCCAGCTTCTCTAACTATCTACGCTTCTACTCTTCCTTCGGCTTCTCCAGCGAAAGATCCCCAAAGCGGAAAATTTAAACGCCGGAATCTTTTGCTTGCAGCTGCGCCGCAGCCACACCTTCATACATGACATACTACAAAGAAACGAAACGAAACGGCGGTGGATTACTTGCCCTGGATCAGCGAGGGGCGGCGACACCGCACATTACAAAGCGCAAGAGAGGGCGAGAGAGCGAGAGCGATAGCACACACACACACCGTACAAGTCAAAGTACGCCATGCCATGCCACCCACGCAGCCCCAGCCCCAGCCCCCCAGCCTCGACTCGACTCGACTCGCCCATCGCACCGCAGGAACAAGGCGCAAAGAGAGAGATAACTGGGCAACAATTGGCGTGCAGGATAACCTCAGCACTAATGGCGAAGGATGCAGCTCCTCATTCGTTGCCATGGGTCATGGCCGACGAACCACCTGTGGGGAGAGGAGGGGGGGGGAAGTTTTTTGGGGGCTGAAAAGTGTGTGCGTCGTGCTGCAAGCTATCATCTCCCGTGCACATATATATGCACGTACACGCATATATGCTGAATAAAGATGAAGATTGAAAGAAGAAGAAGAAGAAAAAAAAAGAGAGAGAGAGAAACTGCGGATTACATTGCAAGACTGGAAGGTAAAGAGTAGTTAGTAAGAGTGAAGTAGGGATTGATCAAGGGAAAAAGAGCGGGCTGCTTGAGCTTGAGAGTTGTGGAGAGCTCCATTATCTCAGGTGCGTTGGTGAGCATACCCCGCATTGGGTGTTAGTGCAGCTGTAGGTGGCGGCGCAGTCAGGTGGCACAATTACGTAGAGAAGCTGACGGGCGGCGGCGAGCGGCGTCCTATTCCTGGCGGATTGTAGTAGGTGGGAGTCGGGAAGGTTACATCATCTTGTGTTGGTTGTAACCGCCGACGAAGACAGCCTCGTCTTACTTATCTACCAAGGGTCTCTATCTCTTTTTTCGGCAACCGGGTATATTCTCGGTTGTTATTGTTGGGCTGAGAGGGGGGCAGAAAAGGAGGGGGAGGGTGCAGTAGTAAAGTGCATTATGCATGTGTAGTGAATCTTCTCTGGATTCTTTGAGATTACTATTTCTGGTTGTTGTTTTGGACTGGGTATATATACAGAGTAGATGGAAGCGAAGTAAGTAAGGGTATGCGAGCATGAAAAACCGCCCAAATGCGAAGCAAATAATGCAAATAAATGTTCAATGCAACAAATCCCAGCCAAATCACCCCTTACAATCGCTCTTCTCACGGTTGATTAGTCGAAACACCAAGTCCTTGACGGCTGGCTCGTTTCGCCATATCGCCGGAGAACTCTTGTTGTGTAGGCAATGGAGAAACGAATGGAGTGGCGTATGGTGACTCGAGTTCTGAAGGGCCAGGGCGACCAGCATCTGCAGGAAGTTCTGAGAATCGTCGGTTGTCCATGACATTTGAAGCACCGGCTGGAAGCTCAGAGAATCTGTTGTGGGAAGAGGAAGAATCCGCAGGGAGCTCTTGCGGCTCGGTTGCGTGGCTGGCATACTGATGATACGACTCATGTCCCTTGCCGGGAGAAGTAGCCTGGTAAGAGTTCTGGATTGGAGCCGAGTATGTAGGAGGTGCTGTTCTCAAAGTTAGCTGCTGAAGCAAGACAAAAAGCGCGTGAGTCGACATACGTGATTGACCTCCGTAATGCCCTGCGGCAGCACTGTTGTCGTTCTTCTCGTTGTTGTTCATCATGGGCATCATGGTAGCAGCACCCATGTCGCCTTCTGTTGTCTTCTTGTTCTTCCTCTTACGGAGCACAATGAAGATGATGACTCCGATGATAGCCAAGACTACGACTCCTCCGACAACGCCACCAACAATAGCACCCGTGTTGGTCTTGCCTGAATCTGAAGGGTTCTCCTGTTTGTCTTGTGATACGTATGTGTTGAATTGTTCTGGTCGTTCCATGAATGCAGGTACCAAATCTCCTTGCGCACAAGTGGCTGGTGGTGTTGCTGCGCAGGGATTCGTCTTGCAGCATCCCCAGAAAGTGTCGCCTGCATTACATGTGAAGAAGTCGCTAGCAGATCCGCAGGACGCATCCGGCCATTCGCCATGGTGGGAGATATTGTAACCGCCGGGCCGGATATTCCCTTGTACGCAACCATTCGCGCATGGGTCTGACGTGCAGCATCCTACAAAATTACTACCACTGGCACAGGCATACCTGGAGTTTGTCAGTGTCAAAGTTCCTATCAAACTTGAGCTCAGTTATTACCATTTGCCCCCAAGTGGGCAGTGAAAGTCGAAAAAGGACGAATTAGACATGATAGGCGCAGAAAGTATAATACAGAATGTGCCTTTCGTATGCGCCGACTGCGCTTGTGTTTATTGATGTGTACTAAGTGGAAACAAAGAGAAAAATTACGGCCAGAGCGACAGCAAGTACAACAGGGAGATGGCCGACGTGATAAAGAATAGGACGAAGCAGGTAATTCAAAGAGGAACAGCATACGGAAGATGTGGGCCCCCTCAAGTATCCAGGCATGTAGAGTGAACGCCTGAACGGGGCGTAACTTCGTCTGCACGGTCTTGAAAAGGCGCCGATTGCGCCACGCACCAACCGAAGCCTGCGCATGACCTAATGTAGGCTAAATGTCTCTTTTCTCCATGGTGGCTGGTAGGGACTGTGATTATTTTGGTATCTTGTGAGAAGCTTGGCCGTGTAGTTGATGCTGAAAGCTGAGAGGAAGCAGCCGAAGGAGCAACATCCCTGGTAACCGACCCGTAACCTCGAGGCAATAGACGATCTGGGCAACTGAGCCTCAGCACAGCCCTTTTTTTCCTATTTCAGAGACAAAACCACAGGCAGACAAGGGAAAGTCTAGGCTATGCCCCAGTTTACTGTACGCCTGGGACGCCTGCTTGGAACAAAGGACCACTAAACTGTAGCTCATTGTCTTTCTTGCCTCTCTTTGCCATACATGCATTGACACTTGTCTCGGCACCAGCCAGGCAAAGATATGCAGTGTTGGGGGCTAATGGACGGGTGGAGACGACATGTCATTTAGTGGCGTTCTTAATCGAAATGACAACGAAGATACTTACCTCTTGGGCGGAAGGGGGCCGTTTCTCAACAGCCATACGGGCTATACCCACAACCGCCCCGCCCTATGTCAGCACGTACCAATGTTACCCCGAGAGAGGTTTTTGGAAACATGGCTGAATGCATCGGGAGAATCGCCACTCGGAGAGGAATTTCAGCGATGAGTGTCAGCGAGGACAGATGTGATAGCTAGTACCTCCACCGATGTAGCGGTCAGTATGGGCTGTGTGTTCAGCCGCAGTGAGCTCTTGGCAGGTTGTGATGCGCAGCTAAAGTGTCTAGACAATCCACAGCTGAGGCGGTAAGGCGCCGGTATTCTTCGAAGCCCGCATTTGGGCGGAATCACAAGACTATTGAAATCTCGGGCCATGCCGTTGTGGGTTTGGACTTATTTGAATGCACAGAAATCACAGATGGCTGGCTTTGTGAAGCCTCTTGAGCCCATCTGTGCTGAAATAGTGCGCTTTGCGCCCTTAGCAGCTCCCACCGTCATGACTGAGCGACGCGCCCAAAAACACAGCCCACGACGAAGACAGATTCATGATAACAACAGACTGACTAGATGCGATTTTCTGGCGATGCGATCGACATTGACCACGCAGACACCCGGCCGCGCACCCAACGGCGAACAGTAATCCAAATCTGTCTGGAAGGATCGCAATTCGAGTCGCTCTGCATTGACAATCTCTTGTCTGTTTCAAGGCGGCCATGTAAACAAAGCCGCCTGTGCGCTTTGCGTGCCGATTACTTGTAATGGGCGAAAATGCAGCTGCTCTGGCAACCCGCTGCCATGCTGTGATGACGGCATCGTTGAACTAAAGGGCCGGGGTGCGCTGAACTCTCTTTGCACTGACGGTAGAGTGCACCCAGGCGGACCGCGAGGAAAGGATGAGGGTACATGTATCCAGGCAGGTAGGAGATGACGAGACAGATGCATGTTTGTCGACCATGGCGACGTGTTCCAAACCACGGGAACGTATGCAAAAGAAAAGAGGAACAGGAGATGACAAGACTGCTCGTGCCAGCAGCTCGTGAAGATGGGGCCCGGCCAGGGGAGCTTGGACGCGTCAGGGCAGTGGCTAGCGCATCACCGCCGCGGGGAAGGGCACCATTGACAACACAGCAGACATACCGCAACCTCAGTCAGGGCCGCGAATAACAAGCTGTAGATAAAAGGGACTTGTTTCTTTGCTCGCTTACTTCCACATGGTTTTGCATTTGCGCCGTACCAAGAATATTGGTGACGGCGGTGATGAGACAGTCCTGCCCAACCTCCCCAGCCCCCCGCCACACATCCGGATCCCGATAGTTACACCCAGCCATCTCGAGTAGAAAACTTGTCGCCGCCCAGCTACTGCATGTGCTCACAATGCAAACATTCCTTCGTGACTCCACTTGATTAGTCGATCCAAGAAGATATGAGTGGGGAGCCTGGATTCCAACTCAAGCAGACAAACGGTATGCATGCGGCTTGAGCCCGCCTCACTACTCACCACCCACCCATTTACTCATCCCATTGCCAGTTTCTCAGCCCCAATTATCCCACCAAAACTCGCAACAGAGCGTTGCTGCTTCACTAACTGCCTCCGAAGGCTACTACAGCGCGTCTGAGCACGCGTCCAGCTCAAGTGAAGAGAGAAGGCCTGTTTACCAAACACCACCCTCATACCGCCAAACACCAGTACAAAGTCATGAGCAATTGATCCCTCACACCGACATCCCTACAACATCACTACGAGGTGTTGGTATTCCCAGGCAACAGCTGCAGCCTCCACAGCCTTCCTTTGTTCACGAACGTCCTCAGTCACCAGCAGTATCCACCATTGCCGAGGAGTCGAGGCCAGGAACCCAAAACGCCCGCCGATCCCAACTGATCCACGACATGGAGTCCGAATCGCAGGCAACTACTCCGGGCCATGACACCACACCATACATTCGCTTCGCCATCGACCAGCTCACCCGAGATGAAGATGTCCGAGGCTCAAGAATATATCCAGAGGTCCGACCCACAGCCGCAGTCCAAGACGATGATGATGACGATTACCCCGTCGAGAGAATCATTCCTGACAATGGCCTGGGATACATGGCACTGGAGCAACAGACACAGGAGAGAATGCAACAGCACAGACCCGCACGCAAGTCGTTGAGACACTCATATACACCACTGGCCACTGCCCCAGCACCCATGGCTACACAGCCAGACGGGCCCTATCACAAATCCCACAAATCCCACAAGTCCAGGGAACAGCAGTCACCTTCTCCTACTCGGGGACAAAAGGATGTTTTCGTAGCACACTCCCAGCCACACTCATCACTTCACTTCTTACCCGCCGTCCTTCGCCCGCTGTCGCTCGGCCTGTTCATTTTCCTATGCCTACTCATGCTCGGTGCGCTTATCTTCGCCGCTGTCTACTCCAACCGTGATGAAGCCTACGGATTGTGGGACTATGGTGGTTTTGGCGACACTCGCTACTTTGTTTTCCGATATCTCCCAACCTTGCTGGGCATGCTCTTGTTCCTTTGGCTCATCCAGATCCAGGCGGCCCTTCAACGCATTGTTCCGTTCATATCCATGTCTTCAGACTCGTTCCACCGGAGATCCGAAGCCGTGTTTCTTCGACTGTACCCGATGCAGTTCGTTTTGCCAAATATCCAGCATTTCCGCGCCGGACATCCCGGTATCTGTGCCTTTTTTGTCATTTCATGGCTATTCGCATGGACGGTTCCTCTTCTTGCTGCCAGTTTCAACGTACGATACAACGTGGCACGCTCCGCTTGGCGATGGGTCGCTGTACAAGGTGTCATTTGGACAGTCATTGTTCTCTACATCCTTCTGGTGCTCGTCCTGATCTACCTCATGGTCTTCCTCATGCGCAGCCCGACTGGATTGAAATGGGACCCGCGATCGCTCGCAGACATCATCGCCCTTCTGGAGCGCTCAAATAACCTAGGAGATTACAACAACTCGGAGACTTTCGACAAGGGTGACTGGAACAATGTTGCTAACCGTGCTGACCGCCTTGGCTACTGGACTACTACGAAGCGACCAAGCGACGTTTTCTACGGTATTGGAGAGGAAGGCGCTGAGATCCGGAGATTCCAGGTCGAGGAGGGGCGCATCAGAGAGCAAGGACCAGACCGCGCAAATCTTGACGTAGCTCAAGGCAACGACTTTTCGATCCGCATGGATATTCGCAGCCCGAACGTGCGACTTCGCTATTTGCCCTGGTGGCTCAAGGACGGTTCAGTCATTGCCTGGATTGTCATCGCCTGTATCCTGTTGATCGCCTTCTACGTCGTCAGCTTTGTGAACGATGCTGTTCGTCTCGGTTTCCTGCCTCGGGTCTTTGCTCGTACAGGCACCGATGGTTTCTCCGCCTCGAACTTCCTGTACTCGTTCATCCCAGCACTCATCGGCCAATTCCTCTTCCTAGCGCTCTTGTCGCTCGACTACTCTATCCGAGTACTCCAGCCATACATGTCGCTCGCATCCAAGGGCGGAGCCACTGCTGAAACCTCTCTGCTGGTCGATTATGCCTGCCGCCTGCCCTTCTCAGTAACCCTGGCTGCGCTTGAGAACAAGCATTTCCAAACAGCCGTCCTATCCTTCGTCTCCTTCGTCTCCATGTCCCTGCCCATCCTCGCAGGCGGCTGCTTCTGGACCCAATACTACGGCGACGTGCGCAACGTCCGCGTCGCCGCCGAACTCCCCGGCTACTACGCCCTCTGCTTCTTCCTCGCCCTCTACACCCTCAGCCTCTTCGCCCTGATCCCCGGTCGCCGCCGAGCCGCCCTCCCCCACCGCAGCAACACCCTTTGCGAAATCATCAGCTGGCTCTACCAATCCCCCATCCTCACCGACCGCGCCTTCGCCCACCCCCAAACAAAACCCGACCTCGTCGCTCGCCTCATGGGCACCACCTACGCAGAACGCACCTGGGCCCGCTCCGTCGCTTCGCTCGTTCGCCCCTCCCGTAGCAACCTCCGCCCCGATTCCCCCACGGACCCCGCGCTGAAAGAGAAGGCGAGGAAGGAAGGTCAGCACGACTCGGTCATCGACCCCGGAAAGATTAGATACGGCTTCGGTATCCACGTCGGCCGCGACGGCCTCGAACACCTCGGTATCGATCGCGTGCGTCGCGGCGGTGAGAGAAGTGGTCGCGAACTCGTTATTTGGGAGGAGCAGCAGCATGACCATAAGAGGAAGAGTTGGACCAGTCAGGTGTGAAATACATACACCCTCACATACACACACACTTTTTTTACGCGCCTTACGGAATCTTCGAAGAACTGCACAACATTACAGTTACGATGACGAAGACGATCGCACGATCAAGAAAAACGTTTTTTGATGGATCTTAGCATTGGTGTTATGGGCGTTTCTTTATATTGCATGATAGCCTCCGAATCCTCCTTCCCCCCCTTTTTTTTCTTCTTCTTCTTCTACGGACTCAATGGCTCGGGATTGGCGTTTTTTTTTTTGGTTTCCCAGTCCACGCTTATTGGACTGGCAATTCCCAATGTAACTGTACGAATTTCTCTCTTCTTTTTTTTAATGATGCACATGGAGGAAAGGAATGGAATGAAAAATATGAGATGGTGTTATAGACAGATGGAGGAAAGGAAACGAAGGGGACTAGTTTGAAATGTGTGTGTGTGTGTATACATGGATGAGGCGTCATTGCCGATATATGATAGATATGCGTGGAATGAGGGTATGAGATGGAATGATGAAATGAGAATCATCACTGATTGTGACTACTTTGCCTTGGATATTGTGATGAGACTTGATTTCAAGTTGAGTTTGTGTACTTGTTCAAGCATTCTCGTCAAAGCAAAAAGATAGGGATAATAGCATTGGATCGTTCATTTCTTATCGTCTCTACGCTACAGCGACAGGGGCAGCAGCATCGACACTCCCAGTAAGCCTACTAATCTCCAACTCCCCATCGCCACCCAGATTATCCAGCCCATGGAACCCCTCCTCGACTACCCATCGCTGCTCATACTTCATAAGCACTTTGCAAGCGTTACCCACGACAAGGAGTCCAGGAGGTCTACTCCCCTCCTCCTCAACAGCCGCACAAACATGCTCGAGCGTCGTACGTATGACCCTCTGATCAGGACACGAAGCGCGTTCAAGCACAGCGACAGGGAGGTCTGCCGGATACGCTTTAGCGACTAAGCTATCGACGAGAGCAGAGAGGCGGTGCAGAGACATAAGCAGGACTAGTGTGCGGGAAGCGACGAATTCCGGGGGATCGAGCGGAGCACCCTTCCTACCCGTACCGGTGCAGATGAGGACTTGATCTGCGATGCCGCGGTGCGTGGCAGGTATGGCAGCGAAAAGGGGTGCGCTGAGTGCACTTGTGATGCCTGGGAGTACGCTGGGGATGAAGCCATGGGCACGGAAGAAGTCGTATTCTTCTCCTCCGCGACCGTAGATGTATGGGTCTCCTTGCTTTATTCGCACGACCACTTTGCCGGCTTTTAGTCCCTCTAATCCCATTTCTAGGAGTTCTTCTTGCGCTTTGTCTGCATTGCCGGGGAACTTTCGGGCAATGTGCACGGTTGCGCGGCGGGGTACGAGATCAAGGATGGGTGCGGGGACGAGTTTGTCGGCAAGGATGAGGTCAGCAGAGAGGATGGCTTTGTGTGCGGCGCGAGTGAGCAGATCTGGGTTTCCGGGACCGGAGCCTGCAAGAATGATGCGGCCGACTCGTTGAGGTGCGGTAGCTGTGGGCCCGACTTTGGAGGGGCTGCTGCTGGCGAATTCGCGGAAGAGCATGTTCACGTCTGCATCAGTGATGCTTGCAAGGCGACGCAGCGGCCAGTACTCGCATATTTGTGTGAGCCAACGCATACGGCGGCCCCGTGCTGCTTCCTTGCTCTCTTCCAAAATCAACTTGTTAAACGTCGCTGGTTGTCCACTGTCCTCCTCTTCCACCTCCAAGTCCTGTGAGAGTTCCGCTGCATGGTCTTCCTCCCATATGCGTCTTCGTAGTGTACCCAACTTCTCAACCGCGTCACCTAGACGTGGTGGGAGAGACGCCGCAATCTCTCTCCGGATTCTTGCAGAGAGTTTGCAGCCTTTTCCAGAAGTAGTGATACCAATCTGAAGAGGGCCGTCGGTATGTGTAGAAAGGAGTGTGAAGGAGCAGAGATTCGGGGCATCAGCGACGTTGACTGGAATGCGTAGTCTTCGGCAGAGGTTCGAGATCTGGGTGGCTGTGGCGAGTCAGAAGACAGAACTGGGCAGAGTATACTATAACCACTTACCCGATCCATTCTTTCCGCCAGAAGTAACAAATACAGCGTCTACTACACCATCCACCTCAGGACGTCCAAGTGTTGTCAAATCCTCATTTTGGAAACTTCGCTTCAACCATTGTACTTCGCCAGCCTCGATACGTTTCGCAAGGCCGTAGTGAAGGGTGGCGTCTTCGGGCGCAAGCAGTATTGGTTTCGCACCAACTTCTATTGAGCGTGTGCATCGCGCGCCTGCAAGTGGGTTGGATCCGACGATAAGATGGATGTGCGATGTCACATCGACTGCAGTGAGAAGTGCAGGCGCCATAATGGAGATTGGAGTGATGCAAAAAATACCAAATCCAATTCCAACAAGGAGGGGTAATTGTTTTATGGGCAAAGATAATACTGAATACGATTACTCCTCGGCCACAGAATTGATAATGGGCATAGCGAATTGTTGTTCCGATAGCGACGAGCCGATATGGCGCGATCGCACTAGTGACATCCCCGCGGAAAAAGAAGGATTCTGAGTGGCATACTGACCCAATCGCCGATGGTGCAATTGGCTGCTATCACATTTGCGCGGAGTTAGTCCATTTACTCGTCTCGACCCATTACAATGTTGAGAGCCTTTCGGCTGAGCATGACTGTGTGTCCAAGTGCGTTGAGCTTTGCTGAGGCGGATATCAAGGCTGGATCTTGGCTTTCGACACGGATCTTCTCCTTGACGCGGACCTCGCGGTTCTTGTACGTGAAGGTGCGGTCGGCTTCGTCATGTGTAGGCGCTCGTGTGCCACCGAGGGCTGATGCAAAGGTGTTGCGGATGCTGAATCCAGTGAGTGAGCCGGTGTCCCCCGCATGATGGGGCTCTAGTGTGCGGATTTCGAGGACGAGGGCAGCGTCGAAGACGAACAGGTGAAAGGATACGTTTGCAGGCAGTGGAGGATCAAATGTCTATCACAGTCAGCAAAGCTCTTAGTTTGTGTAGATACGCAGCGTACATTCTCGTCGACGGGATTGTCCCACCACGAAGGCTGTACGGGCGAGTGGCCTTTGAGAGCAGCCTGTGCCTCGATTATGTGGTCATGGAGTAGTTGGAGTTGGCCCGAGACGAATTGGGCGTTGGTCGCGTCTCCTCCCCAGGTAGCGACATCGATGGCGTCTAGACAGCTGTTGATGGAGGTTCGTACAGAAGTAAGCTGGGGGACAACGAGCGTAGGCGCATGCGGTGCAGAGGAGATGACGAGGTCCCAGGTCAACGAGCCCTTTGGTGGTGGGAGGCTTGCGAGGCGGAGCTTGATGTTCTGGGGACAGTGAGTAGGTGCTCGAATATACACAAACGACCAGACCATGACCTACGCCTTTTGTGATGCGCGTGCCGATGCGCGTAATGAGGCCCTTGAGGCTCTCTGAGCGCACAGAGGTCAACACCAGTGTAGATCCATTCTCAGAGGGCGCAAGGAGGGCAGCACACTCGTCTAGGCCGGCCTTGAGCGACTGCAGCGTCTCGCGCAGCTGGACAAGCAGCCACTCGAGCTCGCGCGCTTGGGATGCCGCCTGTTCGTGGGCGAGACGGTCCTCGTCGATGGGTGGCCATATGGCGGTGGACATGATGGCGGTGGGTTTCCAAGGCAGGACACAGCACCCACCCGCACACAGTCAAAAGACAGATGCAGCAAAGCAGCAAGGCAGGACTCCGTCTTGGTCAGCCACGCAGGCACGATGGGCGGGCGCAGAGTCGACGCAGTAGATCTCGCTTCTATCCGCGCAAGGCCCGGATCCCTGCCCTGAATCAGACCCTCCTTGTTGCAGCCGGGCGCAACCTTTCAATGCGCCTGCGCCCTCCACTATTTACCATATGCTGCCGCTGCCGCTGCACATACACACAAACGGCCTCATCCCACTTCGTACTTCCATCCGAGCCATGGACCCTTTTTCCTTGCTGTGTGCCCCGGGATGATGCAACGCGCGTTAATAGTGTCGTAACCTAGTGAGGTCACGAAGCTAGCCACGACGCCAGAGAGCCGACTCTCCCACACCAGCATACGTCATGGCTTGGCCCGACTTCTTAAACCAGCTCTCCCAGGCCCTTTCAAGTGAACATGTTCGCTGTTCATCTCCAATAATAATTTAGGCCCCTGTGCAACCCTGACAACCATTGCTGGCACTGTCCTCTTTGTTACAGCTCGACAGTTGGATATCCTCCTCTCACCACCATGGCAGGCCCGGCTAGTATGCAGTCCCGCTCTGTTCCGCCGTCGCCTATGCGCTGACATGCAAAATAGGACCCTTGCTCGCCATTGCTTCACTCGTGCTCGTTGCTGCCGGTCTTCTCTTCCAGTTCTTGACAATTCTGACTGGCGGCGTCAACAAGTCCCCTCTCGACAGGTTCTACTTCCTCGAAGCCTCCACCAACGGCATTCCCAACGCCCGTAACCCCTCAAGATGGACCTTCTTTGCTATCTGCGGTGAAAACCCAAGCAATGGCCGCAACGCAAACTGTGGCTCACCTGTTCCCGCTCTTCCCTTCGACCCACCAAGGAACTTTGGCACTGAGCAGAACATCCCTGATGCCTTCCTCGGCACGAAGCAGTACTTCTATCTGTCTCGCTTCATGTTTGCCTTCTACCTAATTGCTCTTTTCTTTGCTGCCGTTGCCCTGGCTTCGGGTCTCCTGGCTCTTTTCAGCCGTCTTGGAGGATACCTGTCATCTCTCATGACCTCCATTGCCCTCTTCTTCCAGGCCCTCGCTGCCGCTCTCATGACGTAAGTTTTACATAGAATAATGGTCAATGGAAAACGCTAATGATCACCAGCGCATGGGTTGTAAAAGGTCGCGATGGGTTCCGATCCGCCGGCTTCCAAGCCCGCATCGGCCGTTACCTCATGGGATTCACATGGGCTGCTGTAGCTTGTTTCTTCCTGGCTACCATCATGTTCTGCCTTGGTGGTCGTCTTGGTGGTGACAGTTCTTCAAAGATGCGTCGCAACCGTTCCACAAAGTCAACCCGCAGCCGTGGAAGTTTTTTAGACACTGATTCCCAGCGCAGAGTCAAGAGCGACTACTCTGTGTAGAACAGTAACCAATTAGGAAGGAGACAGGACTAGGAGGCGCTGTCCTGAACCAACTGTCTTTTCTGCAACGATATCCACGATTTATTTCAATATACATGTACAAGTATAGTTACTCTTGTAATAGCGAGCAACTACATAATGCATCTACATCCTAGCTTAATGATAACCACATACCCATAAAGAAACAGCAAAATCATCTGTGACTAGGCATTCTAAGTTCCTTTCCTCACTAAGCGTCCACTTCTGCTTTGCTTATGCCGTCTTGCCCGTAAGTTTCTCATATGCCTCCCGATATTTCGCCGCAGTCTTCTCCACGATGTCAGTAGGAACTTCAACTCCCTCTTTACCCTTCAACCCATTACTTGTCAGCCAGTCCCTCAAAAACTGCTTGTCGAAGCTTGATTGTGCCTTGCCAAGATTCTGCTCCCAAGTGTCCTTTGGCCAAAACCTGGAGCTATCCGGCGTCAGAACCTCGTCAACCAGCACCACCTCACCCTTCTCATCGATACCGAACTCGAACTTAGTATCAGCGAGGATGATCCCTACTTCTTCTGCGCGAGATGCAGCAGCAGTGTAGATAGCCAACGAAAGCTCCTCAACCTTGCTTGCAACCTTCTCATTCCCAATCATCTCCCTCGCCTTCTCGGGACTAATATTCTCATCCTTACCACCAACCTCTGCCTTTGTACTCGGCGTCCAAAGCGGCCGCGGCAGCTTCTGTCCCTCGATCAACCCTTCTGGCATCTTGATGCCATTGACGGTTCCAGACTTGGTGTACTCTGACCACCCAGATCCCGTGATGTACCCACGAACAATAGACTCAATGGGCAGAATCTGCAGACGGCGGACTTGCATGCTGCGGTCCTTGAGATCCGTCTGGCTCGTAATGGCTGAAGGTAGATCATTGGTGATGAAGTGCGTTTTCAATCCAGGCACTTTGGTTGGTAGATAGTTGAACCAGTAGATGGACATTGCTGTCAGTAGGGCGCCTTTGCCTGGGATTCCCTGACCATCTCGTTAACATAATTGACTTGGAAACTCTCTATTAGTTTGTCTCTTCTGAAAACTCACATTTTCCATAATCACGTCATAGGCTGATATGCGGTCGCTAGCGACGAAGAGCAGGGTATCATCATCAATCGCATACAGATCGCGCACTTTTCCGGATGCGACTTTTGGCAGCTTGCCTTGAACGTCGATATTGGTGACGGCTTTGGAAGACATCTTTGGCTGTCTTTGTCAAGGTTTGTTGAATTGAGTTGCTGGGATGACTGGAAAGGAAGTTTTATGCATGAGTATTTTATGCCCTGCATGAGCAATTGGCGGGGCGAGTGTGGCGCAGGCGCTGTGGCGTACGATACGCAAGGCGCTTGGTTCTGAGAGCCATGCAAGACTATTTGTTCCGATTCAGAAATACACTAATTCAACATTTATATTTAATGCGTCTAATTATGTTAAGAAGAATTAAAATACAGCTTTGGTTTCGTCTCTGAACTGTCTCATCGACAGAGAGACTACGTCAGCCCAATCAGGCACGGCGCGTAGATATCATCACACCAAACTCTATTTAGCACCCTAGCCCCATAACCACACCTCACTCAACCATCCGTCCATCCCTTCTACACCCCTGTAGGTCCATATTACCATCTCCACATGTCCACATGTCTTCGGTTCAGTTCACGGCACTGATACGCCTTCCGTTTATTCGGGGCGACTTTGAAGATCCGCCACAAGCAAGTTGCCCCTGTCTGCCTTTTGGAGGCATCATCTGACCATTGCCTAGGCACAATGGGATGCCGAGAAAGATCGGCAACTCTGGAAAGTTATATCCAAGTCGTCAAAGACTAGTGATTTGAACTGTTAGTGTATTGTGGTATGTATATACTAGGATAGATGCTGACATGATATAGGGGTTGAGTTGTACGCACGTGCATCGTAATGGAAATGCCAGCCTTGCTTACTTCACCTTAGAGCGGACAAGTTCCAGGTTCCGCCCACCTTTCTTCTGCAGCAAGCAGCATGGTTGTACGAAAGACATCTTGACCATGTTCGAAACCAGATGAAGAAGGTCAGCATCACGAATGCTGTTCCGTCATCACCTACAGTCGGCAGTACCATGACTGCTGTAGGTGGTGTTGCCATGCGAAGAGGCGGTAGTGCCGGGTCTGGAGGTACGATCTGTTCCCACGATAGTGTCCGTGACTAACCATGAGTAGCTGGAAGGACACCATCTGTCTTGGCCGGGCGTTCGAGAGAAAGCCCTAGTTTGCGTAACGCAGAGGTGGCGACCCCTGGTAAGTATCTCCGATGACGGACTGCAGGCGATCTTAGGAGATAAGTCTTCTAACAAAATTAGCCCCTTCTCTTTCAAGGACACCCTCTACGACTACAATCACTCAGTCTCGAGCACATGCTCAGGCACCCGCCCGAACACTGTCTACTAGGTCTACCCAGCGTCCCAATCTGACAAGCCGCAAGTCAGAGGAAAGGACTCAAGCCTCAAATTTGCCTCACCCAGGTTACCGCAATGATGGGGATGTCTCACCCGACATCCCGGAGTCATCATCTTCAAGTTCATCCTCTTTGTCGGATGCGGACCATCCAGTTCACCGCAGTCAGTTGTTTAAGAGACCTCCTCGTTTCCAACAGAAGCGCCCACGAGATCTTGCTACGTTCGATGAAGGCGACGGTGCTCAAGAGTTCGATGAGTCTGGCTCTCATGAGACGAGTTTGCCCTTTGCGTCTGCAGCAAGAACGCAGCCAAGTAGTAGCAAATTTGCACAGGACGCACAGTTTCGCGGTAGTACTAAATCAGAGCAAAAGGCCGTGCTCCCCCATCGCTCCAGGACCGATCCACCATCGAGACAAAAGTCAATTGATGTACAGTCTCTTACTACTGAGACAGCGTCATCAATGACCAGCTCAGGAGGGCCTCCATCGGCAGCGAAGAGTCCTATGAGTCCACCTCTAGGTCACCGTGCAGCGTTAGGTCGGCTTGGTAGCCCGAGGAGTGGTGGACCACGATCTAGAAAAGAAGGTAGTGAAGGTACCCCCAGCATGGGAAGCAGCTTCAGTGATATCGATGGTGAGTTCTGAATCGAACTGTAGATTGACACTAGCTGACGTCAATCAGATGCTGGAATTAGTGAGTCGGCTCTCGAGGAAGCGCTCCTGAGCAACATGCAACATGGGCGAATGAGCACATTGAGCCGCATGTCGAGGTGGTAGGCAACAACGTATTAGGGATGAGAAAGTCTTGGCGGTCGGAACGGAGTTTGATTTATACAAAGAATACCATCACCCCTCACTGTATTGGTTGTAATTCAGTTTCACCTTTTTACCAATCGTCATAGCCATATAGTCTTGGCGCCCACTCACCACCTCACATCGACCACTTTCCAAACACCACGTTTCTACAGGTACTGTTTGTCACACTAACTCAACTGACCAACATAGGCGTCATGGAGCGGAGACTATTGCTCCCAAAGATCATCGTCTCAGACTACACAATTACGCCTCCAATATCAACATCATACCACGCGATCAAACCTTTTCATCCACAGAAAGAGGATACCATATTCTTTGGCCAAACTTACAAACTCATAAAATCTCTCCTCATGCCCCCTCGTTGCCCGCACGACCCCAACAAGCGCCGCTGGCCTTGTGAATTTTGCGGAATAGTCGCCACACGCGCATACTGGACCTGTGCTGCCCTGCTCCTAGACTACTATGCCGACTTTTATGCCCACGACAGCGCGATCATGCAATCCATATGGTTTCACCTTTTTGACATATGGCAGGAAAGCGCAGTATGGCTCATCGACGGCCTGATATTAGAGTCCCAGTGCGTGGGTGTCAGTGAAGCATATCGAGCCCGAAACGCAGCAAAAGCGCAAGCCTTTGTAAAAAACGTCAGAGACACCGTCGAACTCGTCGAAGTAGTCCTCTGGGGCCGGAAACAAAGCATCAACACTGCGGCCGCCGCGCATCCAACCCAAGACACCATCCTCTACGACCCGCGAGGCGAAGTATGGCGTTCCAGCGGTGAATACGACACCGGCCCTTGGATCAGCGGCGTAAAACCCTGGTGCCAATTCCTATACAATGGCGGACCAGGCGTCGTGCCTCCTCCTCTCCCTCCCACATTCGCTTGTCAGAAAACAAACGATCACAATAACAATAACAATAACAACACTGATGGAAAAGTAATAATAAAAACAACACGCTACATTCCCCACCCCGCCATCGCAATCCTAACCGCACACACCCGCCGCGCCCGCGCCCTAGCTCGCAAATACTACTCCTCCTCCTCCTCCTCCCCGGAAACCACACTCCGCCGCCTCAACGAATTCGACGCCTACACCCCCATCTTCCCTTCCCCACGCCACCCAGTACACACCTTCACGTCGCCGCTCACGGGGCACACGGTGTCGTACGCGCTGGGCAACGGCGCGCCCCCCGTGCTACGCCATGTCGGATTTGCAGACCCGGAGTTGGTCGAGGAGCCAGCAGACTGGAGTTTGCTGGATGATTGTGTGGCGATTTGTAAGGGGTTGGAGCCGTATTTGGGAATTAGTAGGACGATGGGGGCCGGAGGCGGGCCGGTGGATGAGGCGGCGTTTGATGTGTGGACTGTGGTTGAGACGTGGGAGAAAGGGGGTGGGGAGGGAAGGAAGGAGGATGAGGACGAGGAGGGAAAAAAGGTGGTGGAGCTGGGGGATATGTTTGAGAATTGGTGTGGGATTAGGGAGTGTGAGGTGGGGTTTAGTCGGTCTGGCAGGTGAGGGTTAAAAGGGAGGGGGAGGGATGGTTGGGGCGTATATACTGGAGTTTCTAGGAAAAGGTTACTTATGGTTAACCTTTTTTGTCTTGACAGGATCGATATCAGTCGAGGTTAGTGGTTTGCTTTGACAAGGATCAACAAACAATATTTTGTCTTTCATTTTTCTTTCTGGAAAAATCTAAACAAGCTAAATGCCTTTACCTGTCCAAGCTACCTAATAACCGAACACCACGCAAAATATACAATAATATCAAAAAAAAAACAATATACATAGTTTCCACTTAAGCTACACACAGACACACGCCATTTCGCACGCGGAGATTCCCCTTCATTTCAAAACGCCCGTAGCTCATATGTTAATCTTTTATCGCAAGCAGAGCTTTCCCACTCCCCCTCCAACAAACCAAAAAAATGCAAGTAAACAATAACACACGCAACATACATATATAATCCCAATACCCGAAAGACCCGTTTCGAACCAAAAAAAAGCCCAAGAGGAATGACCAAAAAAACGTTCGCATGCCGAAATATATGAGCTTTGCGAATGTTTCTTTTCTTCTCTCGGTCATGGAAAAAAAAGGAATAATAAACAACAATAACAAACTCCGGTGTAATGCGATGTCATAAGCAGATCATAGCAGTTCAACCCGGGATAACGCCATGCTTCATGCTCTGGAGGACCCAAAAATCCCCCCTCTCAAAGAAATATCACAAATCTGCTGGGAGAAACAAACGAGATAACGAGGGTACGAAAAGTAACATACACGAAGCGAAGGTGGGGGGTTTTTTTTTTAGCAAAAAAGCCCTTCCCTTCAGAGTATGTGATGGGATCGGGTTTTTCGTAGAAGGAAAAGTGTCGACATGGGGATTTTGTTATACCCTACGTGCTCCGAAGAGACTCAAGTTGATTGCAGTCTCGTTCCCAGTGGGATTGCCTGAGCTCTCGGCTAGGATTTCCCATCTCGGCTGGACGAAAGGATAGTGTCGGATTTCCTTCTCTTGCTTCAATTGCAGTTTGCCAGGCGCCTGCGTGACCCCCTGGCCCTGACTCGCTGCAGGGGTTGGGCGTTGTGAATATACAGGCGAAGGTTGCATAGCGCGCTGCTGCATCTGCTGCATCTGTTGCATTTGTGAGAGTGGTGATGGGGTGGCCTGGCCTGAAGGTGTTCGCTGGAGCTGGGCGGGGAGCATCTTGTTTTGTGGATGCTGTGAGTATTGCTGCATGTTGCGCGTTTGTTGCGCTTGCTGGGCTGCCTGCATCTGCTGCTGTCGTTGCTGTTGCTGGCTCGTATACCGTTGTTGAGGTGTCGAAGATCCCGTAGCCTGCGCTTGCGGATTTTGGTACGGTGTTGGCTGTCCTTGCAATGGTGTAGGTGTCGGTGGCTGTGACGAGGTTTGATTTGGAGGAGCATTGACGGGTCTTGCAAGTACGAGCCAGCCATCAACAGGCGCTGTCACCCCGAGAATGAAGACGCAACGTGAGTCATTCGCGAGTCGAGCACCATCCAGCCGGGTGACATGGAATCGTACATCATCAGAGATGTAGTCTGAGAGGAATACTGTAACGTCAAACACATGTTCAGTGATTGTAGGATACAGTTCCAAAGTGGGGTGAGTGAGCATGGCTGCCATGACACTCATCATAGCTGTCTGGTACGGATGCGTAGCATTGCTAATCATTGTAGAAGCGTGGGACACTGCCAATCGGAGGAGAGCCGTCAACCAAGCGTAGAAGTCTAATACTGAAAGCTTGTTGTCATCCAGGGCTTGAGTCATGCCTTTAAGCCTCTCAATTAAAGCTTGAAGCATGCCAGATTGTTCCGTATTTTCAGCGCCCTTGCTGGGAGTTAGATCGATGACGGCGAGGAACTTCTGGACCGTCTTGGGCGAAACAACCTCCGACTCTTCTACCTTGGTAGTCGACAATGCAGTCAGGAAAGCGGAAGCGTTGATAATCTCACGCTCTGCATTCTGTCGTATCTGCCCTGTCAGCGAAGCGTCTAAACTCGCAAGAAGCTCTAGTCCGGATGGTCGGTCCTCCTCCACAGCTGTTCTGATGGCATTGAGAAGGGTAGCAGATAGCGCCTCACTGGGGCCCTCAGACGCGGTCGCTCGGGAAGAGAAGATTCGTTCAATAGCCGCCTGGCAGATGGGCAATGACAGCTCGCTAGCAAGTGAAAATACCGTAGCCACCTGCTGTTCAGGAGGTTTCTGAGATAAACCTAAATGGTCGTTTGGATCAAGAAGGGCATCTAGCGACTGATTCAGGCAATCACTCGAAACGTCTTTACTTAGCTTACTCAGACATCCTGGATCGGTAGCGATGTAAGTATTCAGAATCGATAGCACAGGCCTACTGCGCAGCAAACTTGCAAGCTGTGTTTGAGCCTTGTGCGAAGAGATTATCGAGCCAAGCCCAATCAGCTCACCCAGACACTGCATGAAACGCCCTTCAGTCTCTAAGCATAGCTTTCGCTGCTCGAGGCGATATCGATACGCATCTTGGGGTGAACATGACTGAGCCAGCGCATCGGACGGCAGGATAATGTGCATACCCTTCAGCGCGCTCTGGAAGCAACCTTCAGATGGGCTTGTCTTGAACCTTGCAACGCAGGCTCGCAAAATTTCCAGGAAAGAAGTTAGAGCAACACAGCCAGAGCCAGCTAGGGTGGGCAGAGCTACTCGCAAGCTGTCGGTTCTTTGAGCCATCAAGCTTGAGGCCAGCCATTCATTCACAACCATATCAAAAGTTGGTTCATCGAAACAGCGGAGTCGATGGAACCATCCATGATGGCTGTTCAGATGCACAGAACCCTTGCCTGAATGCTCTTCTATGTTGCTTACAATCTTGCGGAGTACTCGACCCATCATCTGCTGGTCCATACTGGTACCACTAGAAAGGATACGCTCAATTTCGTCATCAGAGGAGGATCCTGTCTGCATAACTTCACCCATGTTATCAGAGGCAGGTGAACAGGCAATAAGCGAGTTACGCTGGCTGAGTTGGCTTAAATCATAGTTGAGAAGCTGTGGGAGCTGTCCATCAGTTTGGGCGGTGCGAGCTAGACTGGCAAGGCTGAGCAGGAGCTCGCGATCGGGGAACCGGATCGTTCGCAAGGCGGCATATCTCGCTGTAACTCTGGCAAATAGAGGGTCGAAGGCACCTATGGCACGGAAAGCTTTGGCGTGGTAGTTAATCGTGTCCGCAGTGGAAGCAAGAACACTGGAATCCAAAGATGAAGTCGCGATGCCAACAACGTCCGCAAGTATAGCGAGATCCCCAAAACGTTCGAGGTAGGACCTTACAATATGGAAATCCAACGCCGTTAGCAAGGACACTGCAGCAGTCTCTTCTCCTGGTGCATCTTTGGTAGGTACACTATAGACAGTTAGCGAACTACCGTACGTGTTAATAAAAGGCCTTACTGCTCGTTGACTTCTGCATACTGAGCGACTTGTCGACGTAACCAGATACCTAGCTCAAACTTCACGGTCGGACTAAGCTTGTCTAGCTCAACTTCATTCACGTCCGTAGTAGAATTGTAGAGCCCAAACAAACTAGGCAAAGTCTGAGACATCATATGTTTGGCGTAGGTAAGGGCTCTTTGCTCCGATTCTGCAGAGTGTACGGTCCCACGAAGGAGGGTGCTCCGTAGGGTGCGAATCTGATCAGGCAGTCCAGTAAGGGGTATCTCGGTGATTAGACGCAGTGGCCAAGAGGCAGGCTGGTAACGGATTAGAGTAGACTCATCACGCTGATGAAGGCAACTTACCGCAGAAAGATCTGCACCATGCCCTACGGATCCAGTAGCAATAAGCCATTGTAGGTAGCGTCCGAGCGCGAATGTTTTGGAACGAACCAGTTCTGCAACAACCTTGAAAAGAAGGCTAGGATCGCCTGTTGCAACCCATGTCATTTCGCGCAAATACGAAATGATGCCCTCATAAACGTCGGCCCCGAGATGATTCCATCGCCGTAGTAACCGAGTCGCCAGATACACTCTGTGTGCACCTTCTCGATAGTACGTGCAAGTCCAGCGAAGGAGAACACTGATTAGGCGGGGCGCATCTGCAATAATCTCCATGCAGTCGTAAGACAGGTCTTCGATGCGGACTGGCCTATTGTAGTCAACAGAGTCTAAGATGCGATAAACTCGGCCGGCGGGCGTTTGTGAAGCGAATGATGGTTTCTGTGGAGCCTTTAACAACCTGCAGTTTCGCTGCTCGAGTCTCCGGATGGCTTGGGTGACGTGTGCATGGTTCCGCCTCTCTGCAAGTTTCTGGAGAAGAGGGCTGTACTGCGTCCACGATGTCGGGAGTAGTAAACATGCTGGTCGTGTTGCAAGTAGTCTGACAAGAGTATTTTCCAGATATTGCAAGACAGCCATGTAGGGACCCTGTTCCTCTAGTCGATAGATCCTGTCAAGTTGGTTGAGCAACGACTCAGCAAGACGCTTGCCGCGGCGGCGGCAGCACGTAACGTCTGCCCAGTAGTGTGAAATGGAAACAACCAACAGCCAGATGAATAGACGCTCCGATGCACATGTGTCCAAGCCATTGACTATCCAGTCGAGAAAGTGGTCGTCGTCCAAAAGGTGCTCTTTGTAGAGATGGGTAGCCAGTTGAAGGGCATACGTGATTCGTGGTTTCCAATCGCCTTGGCCTATTCCGCCAATAACACCGTCTATAAATTGCTCCACGGAACTGGTCCAGCCTCTTCCCCATGTCACAGTACCAGCCTGTCCCTTTCTCTTGTGAGCGCGCAGCTCGTTGATACCTACACACTTGGCCAGCCACAGGGCTCGCGGGAGCGGTATGTTCTTGTTGAGACATTGTTCCAGTAGCACTTTGCCAGTGAGCCCATGGGGTATGGTGCGGCTGAGGCGACGGAGGCCTGTGGTCGGATTTGCTAGATCGTGCAGCCACTGCTCACGAGTGGAATCTCTAAGTGTTAGTCGAGGTGGGGGTTTGAAGGTGTTGGGGGCCTGTAAGCGGCCGGTT